TCTGTACTTTTACTCAAGTTCGGAAAGTGAGTACTTTTGCCATCTCTGATAATTTCTAAACAGTACATCCACAAAAGATCTAGATTATTAATTTTACTGAAAACAAAAGTATAGTATGAAATCAACTGTTCTAAGTATTGTGTTAGAGGTGTTGATCTGAAAGTTCTGATCTGATTTTAGGAATAAAGAAAGTTAAGAGTTTACCATCTAACAGGCCGTCTGAGGCCAAACAATGGCACAATGGTTTCTATGGACATTAATATCTTTTTTAATTCCTCTGCTTCCTTTCTGTGCATGTTATCAAAGCCTTCCACAAATCTTAAGCCAAAAGGATTTTTCTTTTAGCAAAGAACGGTTAAATTCGACCTAAATAAGATTGATAAACAAAGCCATATTGCATTGGTAGAGAACCTTGGAAGGTCACAGCAAAGATTAGTCATTTGCAAGCAAGATTGCTGCATCTTTGCTGCCACAGAGTTGGGATTTAGGTTGGAGGGGGATTTCAGTGCTTCTGCTGCTGGGTCAGTGGATTACCTTGTAATAGATCTGCTGGAGCACACACACAGGATGTGTTGGCTTGTATATGGAGGGTTTAATCCCCCAGACAAGCTCCTATTTGTTGTAAGTAAGCCAGAGGCTGACGGGGACACGATAGGTTTGTTTTTTGTTTCCACAATGAAAGCTATTTTTTTTCCCTGTCCCAGGTGGGAAAAAAATGACGAACCCATTCCTGCTCGCCGTTTGAGGATGCTGCTCGGTTAGCAAAGCCAGCCGAGAGGAGCTCTACGCCTCTTTCACGGCTTTACCTCTGGACACAAAGCAGGCACGCAGGAGTCGGCTCTGTGAGGCACCGCCATGCTGATCAAGGAGTACCGGATCCCCATGCCCATGAGTGTGGAGGAGTACCGCATTGCTCAGCTCTACATGATCCAGGTGAGCAACCTCCTCCAGGCAGCAAAGGCTGCGCTTTAAACCTGAGGATTTCTGCTTGAAAGCACTGACAGCTATGAGGACAGGCTGGAGCCAAACAAAGCTTTCCGTTATCATCCTACCTTCTACAGATACAATTATGGTTATAGTAGGGTGTCCATATTTTGTTTTACCAATTAGCTGAGTTGTTAAACACTTTGATGATGCTTCATTTTGTTAAAGAAGTCTTATTATTTAAGTAAGTCATGTGTGTAGTTAGAAAAAACTGTTATATCAACCAAACTCTATGTAACTATGATTTATTTAAGATA